CCTAAACCTCTAAAACCCCGAAACCCTGAACCCTAAACCTTTAAATCCCTAAACCCCCAACATCAGACCAAAAGCAGGGGCCAATACTCCCAAACTCATCCCCACCCTTTGAAGCCTATTCTGAATTATTCTGAATTAGGGGGAGCGCTTCGGCTCCGAATGAGCCTTAACTCTTAACGTACTACTATGTCTCTGAGTACTACTATTACTCATTCTTGCTGAATAGAACAATACTTTCCGACGGGTTTTTCTTGAGTCGGCTGGGGGTCCCCCCCCTCCCCCCCATCCCCGTTTTAACACTATAGGGGGAACCCTAAACCCTAAACCCTAAAAGGATTACGACCCTTTGCCAGGCCCGGGGCTTTGGCTTCGGAGGTCCCGCGGTTGCGGACCGACTTCCGTCCTCCACGAGTCCGAGCATGCAAAGCTGGAAGTCGACATCTTTCTCCTTCAGCATGACCTGGCTGGACTGGCTGGAAGGTGGCAGGGGTTTGGGGTTTAGGTGGCCAGAGACTCCAAAACCCCCTTAAGTAAGGGAATTATACCCTTAAATCTTATGAGGGTTCCTATTCTATTTTAAGGTATATTCCTTAATTAAGGGGTTTTGGAGTGTCTGGGTGGCTGGAAGGTGGCTTAAGCAAAGGGTCCAAGGTATAGGAGGTGGGGTTTAGTGAGAAGCAAGGAACCAGAAGACGGTCATCAAGCTGGGCCAAGTGTAGGGACTCACCGGCTGTCAGAATGAGCGTCTCCCACTCACCGAGCGTGCCTTGCGCATGGCATTCGGCTTCCAGGTCGTGTTCAAGTGATTCCTTGGCTTTTCAGGAGTTCCAGTGCAAGAGAACGGAGAATCCACTAGAGGGATCTGAATAACTTGTGTAAATTCTCCTGCAGCTAGTCCTGAGGTAGTCCCGTATATACACACATGTGTGTATGCATATATATATATATGTGTATATATATATGTATATATATATATGTATATGCATATGCATATGCATATGCATATGCATATGCATATGCATATGTATATGTATATGTATATGTATATGTATATGTATATGTATATGTATATGGACGCACACACAAATACATATATGCTGAGAGCAAGTTATACTTCTTGTATTGCAGAGCGTGCAAAGCCTGTTCTAATCATCAAGGCCCCCCATATCATGCCTGTCGTGGTTCAGATATGAACGTTCGATGTTGGCGATGAGGGCTCGCATGCCGGCGTGTCCGCGCTGATACAGCTCCCGGAAGTTCTCATCCTCCTGTCCGGCACGAGAGATTTAGGGTTTAGGGTCAAATAGAGCCGGTTTGGCGGTTAGGGTTGAGGGAGAGCTCCGCTATTTGATACCGTAAGGTGAGCTGGTCCAACATCGCAACAGCGCATGTTTCCTCGAGGTAAGCTTGGACAAATGCAATCATTGCCCACTGCAAGCCAAACAGAACGGCCCAGCTGAACGAGCAAATCGAGCTGCTGCCTTTGAGTGCAACCCGGGCATAACGAGCCATACCTCGGCTGTGCCTAGGGTTGGGGCCAGGGGCTTGTCGACTATGAAAGTAAAGAATGGACGACAAAGACGAGGAGGCGGACGAGGACCGTAACGACGCTGCGAAATCACCACCGCCACGACTATCGGACTGAAGACGAATAATAGTGGTGATAGTCAGAAGGCACGCATAAGTATTACGCAACAAAACCCATCACACCCTCGTTTGCCCCATGACAAAGGCCCAGTGCCCGGTCCTCCTGAAAGAACTTGATCTCGTTGTTTCCTTGGAGCTCCAGCCTCTCGAAGTTGCTATTGAACTCCTCGCAGCTTGGGGGCTTTTGAGGTTAGGGTTTAGGGTTTCGGTTTAGGGGGTAAACCGCACTTTTGTGTGTGCTGCTGACAACTTGGCGGAGGTTCAGAGCTTAAATACGTCACCGCAAGGGGCCTACGGCACAGTTTCAAGGCTTCCGAAAATCACAGGTCACTGGCTCCATCCTTCTTTCGACATTACCTACAGGCCTCTGCAGAGATCCTATGTGGGGTTCCGGGTTTCGGCTACAGGTGCTTCAAGGTTTAGGGATCAGACCAACGGCCGTCGAGGGCTGAGAGACGACGCGCTGGAAGCCTTGGAAACCTCAGCGATGGATCTACCTATCTACCTATCTAGCAAGCTAGCTAGCTTTCTGGCTATCTATCGATTTTACATGCATACATACACTCCAAAGGTGTGTGTGTGTGTGTGCACGCATGCATATACAGATACATACATACATATACAAATATACAAATATACAAATATATATATATATATGTGTGTATATATATATATATAAAGTTCATGTCAGGCACCCCTCCAAATCGCAATCAACAAACCCTAAACCCTAAACCCTAACAAACCCCAAACCCTAACAAACCCTAAACCCTAACAAACCCTAAACCCGAACAAACCCTAAACCCTAACAGACCCTAAACCTATCCTTCGGTGGCTCGAGCATGCTCGCGACCCAGGTCTGCAAGTGGATTCGGCCCAGGCTCTCCGGGGATTCGCCTGCGGGTTCTTAGGGCTCCAAAAGGGCTGTTAGGGTTCTTGGGGCTCCAAAAGGGTTCTTAGTGCTCTTAGGGCTTCTAGGACTGCCAGGTCGAGAAAAGAAGTCTTGGTTTCAGGAGGTTCATAAGGTTTAGGGTTTAGGGTTTAGGTTTAGGGATTTAGGGTTTAGGGGTTTAGGGGTTTAGGGGTTTAGGGGTTTAGGGTTTAGGACTTCGGGTTTTAGGGTTTAGGGTTTAGGTTTAAGGAGGTTTCAGGTTTGGGGAATCTAGGGTTTAGGGGTTTAGGCTCAAGGATGTTTCGGCCGAGAAAAGCGTTTTTGCTTTAAGGTTTAAGGTTTATTTGCCTGGATCCCAAGACACTTAGGGATTTGGGGTTGAGGGACTCTGGCTTTTGTCGGCTGGCTAGGGGTGGCTGTGCTTCCTAGGAGACTTTTGGGTTCAGGTGCTCCCTGGCAATATGAGGCTGGAAACCTGATATAGGAGCCTAAATAATTACCAATACTGTTTGGGGGGTTCCTTATATAGTTATAGTTATAGTATGATATGAGATATACGATATACCCCTTAACCTATTCTGATTAGTAAGGCGCCTACTGAAAAGACTGCTAGCCTCTGGCTCACAACTGCCCTCCGATTCCGAGGGCCCATGCAAACTTTACGGTTTGGGGTTCAGGGTTTTCCGTGTGGTTCACTCTTCAGGGCTTGGCCTTGGGTAGGGATTAAGACTCAGAGGTGGCTTCGCCTTCTTTCGTGGGCTCATTGAGCACAAGGGCACGGAGGACATCCGAGCCATTTTTGCTGGTCTGGTCGCACTTGGAGAAGACCCCAACCGTCCGGTCCTGCAGATGCAATGGAAATACGTGGGTTCCCAATGTGAGGTATGGATTCTATCAGCCCCTCGGACCCACAATAAGGTTTTCTACAACTCACGAGTTTACATACTATGATACACATGCAAAGTAGTTCCCAAGCAACACCACCCCGGATGTAGTCCAGGGTGTAGGGAGTAGGGTGTTGCTTCGCTCGTAGACGAGGCGTGCTCCAACACTGCCGTCCTCGAGCTGGTTCTCCATAATGAACTTCATGGCCTTGGGCTTACGGGGTCCGGGCTTCAAGGCATGGGGCGAGTCGCTTTCCGGGCCCGGCGAAACTGAAGCCTACACAACAAACTGAAAAAAAAGACAATAGAACTGAAGGCAGCCTGGTTGCATTGTTCGTGTTGGGCTTCACATCTCCGGAAGCTGGAACGACTGCTAGGAACCTTGGCATCGTGTCGGTGTTGGACTCGGGGTCTATGTGGTTCAGCTCCTTTGAGAATACCACAGTACATGCATGCGCATGCGCATACATCCACATTGGCACAGATTGTGCATACGCAAAATAAGAGCATGCAGGCGACACACAGACAGACACAGACACAGACACAGACACAGACACAGACACAGACACAGAGACACAGAGACACAGAGACACAGAGACACAGAGACACAGAGACACAGAGACACAGACACACACAGACAGACACAGACAGACACAGACAGACACAGAC